CTGAAACTAGACAATTAAAGCTGTAGATGATCTTTCATCTAGAAGCACACTTCTTGTGTGTGCACAGATCAAGGTCAGCTTATTTTTTTGGATATTTTCTTTGTATGTATGAGGATCTCCTGTTAGCATCAACAGTATGTTTAAGGGGAGGGTAGATTAGAGGTGTGTGGAGGTTTTCTTATGCTTTGAAATATTGTCATGGGCTTGCTGCTGAATTGAGTACTCCTTTGTCTGAAAAAGAAAGCTAGGAAATGATGCTGTACTATATTTGGGTAGCAGTGAATTATGTTTAACTGGAGTATGGTTTAGCTAGCTGAGAATATGTCTTTCCAGAGTACATAAAAACATTCTAACTCGCCTCTAAAATAGTGTTCCATAATATTCTCCTTGCCCCCAACACCCCTCTGTGAATGAAATAATTGTACTGCGGATAGGCTGCCTATCCGGCACTTTTGACTGCAGACTTTTGTGAATGTTTACAGACATGGGTCAAGTTCTTCTCTCCCTTATACTCACAAACAAACTGGTTCTCTATGCTTTTCAGCTATAAACTACAACTTGATGGTGCTTACTTTATCCTGTGAATACAAGTGGGAGCAGAATTTGGACCATGGATTTTTTTAGTATTTTTCCTTGGAAAACGTACATGATTTTAAAGGCATATAGCTAAATTAACTGTTACGATGCAGCATATAGAAAGGTCTTGCTTTGTTAGTGAAATTCAATTGTGCACTCTTCTAATAATGTTAGTACCTGTAGCAATGTGTAACACGTCATTGAGTATCATCTATTTAAGATATACTCTTGATCATGTTCCAGAGACAATAGAGATGAATGATATTCAGTCACGTGATTAAATTAAAATGTAGAGGATAGATACTACACTGTAGAAAAGTTCTGCACCTAGAGTTTTACTTTTTTAAAGATTGATTCTGCTGGGAGATGTTGCTAATGTATTTTCTTTCAAGATGTGAACAACTTTTTTAGAATGTTAACAGAAATTACTGTATTGGTTTTTAACATAATTTTTTTAAATAAAAAGTTTACAATCATGGCGAAAAGGCTTTGCTGACTATTTACATATTTACCTAAAATACAAATGAATAAACTTGTTTTTACTAAGATATTTCTGATGTTTGGTCTTGCTTATGCTGTTTCTTTATGATGGAGAATTCTGTCCATAATGATAAAATTGACTTCCTAAAGAGTGACATTAGAGATATTGTATGAATTTTTTAGAAAAATTTGGCAGCAATTGGGTAGTCTTATATTTTAATAATCAAATTTATGTATTATGTTAAATCTAAATATAAAAACGTTGTGCTCTTGCCTTTTTTTTTTTTTATTTTGTGAAACCTGTTGAATTATTATTCTCCACTCTGGACTGCTTTAAAATTGGTGCATTTTATCTTGTCTCAAGAAATCTGTGGAAGAAATCTCTACCATCTTTCATTATACTTTCCTTCTCATTCTTTTCATAATTTGTTCTTTGTAGATTTGTAGATCAATTGGAGAAGGAGAAAATAAAGATATAGGTATCTTATCAAAGCAGATTGACTTTTGTCCCATAGATATGAATGTAAAGTAGTTCAAAGTCAGCATTTTGTAACCATACTGTGGACCTAAGTTTGATATCCTGTTTTAATCCTAGTTTCCCCAATAATCAATGAAAGTCTGAACTAATTTACATTACCTTCTAGTAAAACCCAAGTAATATGCAGTGTTTTATCAAAAAGTAGGCAGTTTGTACCTCTTTCTCAAAACGTCTATTGAATGACCGTGGGGTGTGGGATTTTCTATCTGAACATGGGACAACTCAAAGATACTGAAGAAATTGTGAAACCTTGTTTCTCCAAATGCAAACAGGTGAGAAGTAGTGAAAATGCACTGTGTTAAATGCTCTTCTCCTGAAACTGTAGTTAGTGAGTGGTGTCTAGCCACATCATCCAGAGAAGAGTATTTCATACATAGGTGGTGTAGTTTTACAGACACACTCCCGTCTATGTCAGACAAATGAATAATTTAAGAAGCATTAAACTGTTAAGTTCCTTTGTCTTGAATGGCCTCTCTGGTTCTTAGTGAAACATATTGAGCAGAATTCTGTAAATTGAACTTTCCAGTGCTTAGGATTAAGATAAAATTCAATTTCATAAATATTTCTCCTGATGTAAAATTGTTCTTTATTATTTTTTTTCTCTTCAGGAATAAAGTCTGTGTTCTTCATTGTAGCAAACTCCTGTGACCCAGCCTTGGAATATCTGAAGAAGGTGATTTCTCCTGGGCTCTTTCATGCTTTCTTGAGCACCATATTTAGGAAGCCAAGGAAAAGTCTGTTCCTGAGGCGAACCACCTTACACTGAGCCTGTACTGGGAAAAGGCTTTTGCTGTATGACTTTAATTCTGAACTAACTGTGATTTTTTTCACTGTTCCAGTTGCCTATTACTGCTGTATTTCATCTGTGTTGACAGACTACAAAGATAAGGTGTAGTGAAGTGTTCTTTGAAATAAAATCTTTTTTGGAAGAACTAAGAACTTACTGGGATTGTGTTTGCAAATGTTTCAATGTTTCAAGTACTTTAATTGCAGCTGCAGTGAATATAAGAGAAACAGCAATTTTCTGTCCTCCTCTTTCTCCTATTTGCAAATGAGTATTGCGAATTTGGCTGGACCTGAAAGGAAACTTGCCATGTTATGAATGTTATTTCTTGCAAATTGCCTTCCTTTCTGGATTGAGGTGGGAGCAATCCGTTTGATTAACTCTCTCTCGTATTTACTCATGCTCTAGTGAAATGTAGCCAAAGGGGGGCTTCCCGTTGTCTCCTGATCTTCAGCTATTGAAAGCTGATGCCTACCCTGCCTTCTGAATTTTGATCTGGGGAAAAGGAATGATGAGCCTGAAGCAAATAGGCTAGTGCCTATTCTATGGGCAGAATTCAGGGCCAGGGAAGGACTAAGCTGAGAAATCTTTAGGGAATGGCTGAAGCCAATGGATGAGAAGGAAAGTAGTATGGGTCTAAAAAGGTCAGAGAAAGACAAACTGAAACCTACAACTTTTTTTCAAATCTCATGTGGGCATTGCCTGATGATTCTTTTATATACCTTTGGGATTGGCACTGTTTAGAAATGGCTGTGGGTAAGAATTACCCTTCTGGTTTTAACAGACTTTGAAGTGGGTGCTTGGTCTTTGTCAGACACTGGACTGCTGTTACTTTGTGTACCTGTTGTAGCCTGACACATCACTACTGTAACGTGAAGTACACTATGTGGCAAACAGACAGCAGTGGCAGTGTTAAAGATTTTCACATTAAATCCTAAAAGTTCTGTCTTCATACACATGGCCTTAAGGTTTGCATGGTAATTTGTCCAGGGCTGCTCCTCAAATCATTTGTACCACTGATTGGAGAATGCCTGATGATACCTCATGAAACAACTAGGGATTTAAAAATGCTGTTTTTTTGAAAGGATGAGGAGGAAAGCTGAGCTCCCACTACGATATTTCTGTGCCCAGCTCTCATGGAGGCCTGAAACTGGGCCCTCTTGGACACACGTGTTTAGGTGTGAGTGATTAAATCTACAGCAGGGACCTCAAAGTAGGATGGGCAAAACTGCAAGCAGCAAGGGGCTTGATGTAACACCCAGGTGTGCAGCTGCCATTACCAGCAGGCTCAGCCCAGCCATGCACAGATAGGAGGGGCAGGAGCTTCAAGAGGGCTGTGCTGTATTTCCTCCTCTGGGGTTGCTGGCAGTTTTCTGACAAACGTGTCAGTCCTGCTCTACTGGTCAGTTAGCTTGTGCCTTACGGGTGAGGAAGCCTCATGCTGTTTCCATGGTGGTGACAAGTTGCTTTTTTTCAGACAGTATAAGTTGAATTGTTTCCTATTTATCACTTTTTATCTGCATGTGAATTTTCTTTGATGTCAGAAATTGCCAGTGCTACCCTATACCTTTCAAATAACTTATCCAAAACACCTTGCACCTTTCCATCAGCATGGCAGAGCTTCTCTGAGGAGACCTCTGAGACTTTGTCCCTTTGTCCTGCTTCTTCCTCTTGCGCTGGGAAACATAGACTGTGGTGTTCAGCTTCCCATCTGCTGATGCTCATGCCTGCAAAAATCCTCTTCTGGCCCAAACCAGGCAACTGGGCAGCCCCTAGGACTATCTCATGCTGCATCCCTGCTGCTGCTGCTTTCCTTGTGACTCTCCTGATGCATTTCTGCATTTAGCAAAATTCAGTTGATCCTACAGCACTCTATCCTGATGGCAAGACTGTCCGGTTTCCCTCCTTGCCTATTCTTTGAGGATGTCAGCAACTCCAGCTGCTCTTCTCTTCAAAGACCAGCTGCTCCTTGGTCACACTTTCCTTGCAAAGAGCCTCCTGAACTTTTAGCATTTGAACAGCTGCTCACTACTGCCTTCCCTTCAGGCATCAAAATAATGAAATTTATTTTTATATAGTTTTTTTATTTCATTGTAATGAAATTTTGGGATGAGACAAGCTCAACTCAATAAGACAACTGCTTAAAATGCATGGGTCTGCATTTTGACAAGCAGTAATTTTGAAGTTTATGGTTCACTGAATGAACTGGTCCATCAATATTCCTCAAAACCTTCATGTAAAGGCAGCAATAGTTTCTCTCATTTTCCTTATTACCTGTTTCATACAAACTAAATCTTTTGTCCCAGCCATGGTGCACTGACAGATTCATACTCATGGATACTCCACCCAAGGTTTCTAATTCTCCATCACAGCCCCCAGCTTTGGCAATATCTTACATTATTCCTTTTTCTTTCTGTTGCAAAATATATTTTCTGAACCTTTTTTTACCTTATGGGTAGAAGGGCCATAAGATTGAATGTTTGGTTAGGTCTTTAATGTCTTTGTTTGAGCGATGGGAGGGAAGAATAGGGAGTGAGCCTCTGTGAACTTTGCAGTCCTTTATGATTGCACTGGGCTAGATCTACATCCCTGGGGTAACTCTTCAAATTTTTCATTCATTGCTCTTCTGCCTTATATTTTTTTATAGCTGACAGGCGGGAAGGAATTGGTGTCTGTGGCTGGATCCTGGTTTCCCTTTCATTCCTCCTGGTGCTTATTACTTTTCCTGTTTCCATCTGGGCATGTATGAAGGTAAGCTAGAGGGATTTGAGGTACATAAGAATACTCTGTTATCATTGCTGTTATTTTTTTTATTGATTTAGTTAAGACAAGGCACTTTACATTCACTTTTTGGAAATCATAAAGGGTTGTAGCAAAGATGTGTTCTGGGACTGAGATCCATGTTCTTTCACTAACTTTGTGTCATCACAACTTTCTTGTTTAATTTCTTTCAGCCTCAACTTCTGTCATCAGTTAAACTTCTCTGATTTACAACACTGGGAAAATAAATCTACAAATTTTTCTAAAGAACTCATATTTGATGCTGCCAGCAATAGGAATTAACACAAGAAGATGAGAACAGGTGGCTCTGCATTGAGAAACTGCATAACCTAAACCCACACAATGCCCCTTCAAGACATGGGCATAATAATTTCAGGCATTTTTAAGGTGTGAGTTACCAGTGATTGCCCTGAACTCCAGACCTTCAGTAGTTGTGATGCACTAACTGAAGTAGTTAGCTAGGTTACCTGAGGTGAGACATGGTTTGCCTACAGCTCCTCTGAATGTAGTGCTGATGTTGAGAAAGCTGTGGGATAGCCTCATTAAATCAGTGGCAATTCTTTCATATTTGATCTGTTTGGAACATATTTGCAGGGCCAGGGTCTGAGTTTTTTCAGCAAAACATGAGGTAAGTAGAAGATATAAAATACCTAGTGATTTGCAGCTTTGTTACCTCCTATATTATTTCTTCTTTTTTCACATTTAATATGGATGCCAAAGATTAAAGAAATCAGACCAGAGAGTAGAATTAGTTGTAAAATTCTAAACTTAAAATATTTTCCTAGGTTATCAGAGAATATGAACGAGCTGTTGTATTTCGTCTGGGACGTATACTGTCTAAGAAAGCAAAGGGAGCAGGTGAATGCATGCAGTTTTATTCTGTTAAAATCCACTGGGTTTATTTGTTTTATTATGATGCACTCTAATCACATAGAGAATTGCAGAGGTTCGTGAAATCCCTCTTCACAGCCTAGAGGGGACTGAGAAGGTCCTCTCTACTGCAGTTCCTTAACCTGCAGACTATTTGCTTTTCTGAAGAGAAGACAAAGCCACCCTCCTGTCTCAGCACAGAAGTTTGAGTACCTTGATACCAGGTATGGCTTTGCTGTTGAGGAGATTGGACAGGTTGAGTTCATGCTGCAGACACCGGCAGGAGACTGTGGAGAGATTTAAGTGCAGTGTTCATGTCTGCCATGGTCTTTTTTGAGTGACTTTTGTGGCCTTTCTCCCTGTACCTCACTTCCAACACTGGTTGTTGCTGCCAACTCCTTAGCTGTCTCTACTCTGAAAATGGTAAATGTGTCAGGGCCAAGATATTCAGCATCTAATGTAGAGTTTGCTACAGTCACTTAGGATCAGTTTACAAGTCACGAACTCAAACCAAACCCATCATCATGAGGTGTTTGTGTAGGTGCAGTTACCACCTCTGTGCAGTGAAACTGGGTAAACTGGAAGTTGAAATAACAGGAAAAAGTCCTTTTCAGGTATTGTCCTTCCTCTTGGATAATAGTCATGAAGTCGAAAGAGCAGCTGGGACTGGTGCAGAGTTCTTCTGTGTGGCTCTGGGCGCCAAACCAAGATGCTGAGATTAGAATAGTCGTGTCCAGTCTCCCTCTCCAGTGAAGGAGAGTGGGGACTCCTTCACAGGATGCGTCACATCTCGGGACAATGTTCATCATGTGGGAGCCATGCAGGAATGGATCTGGGGGATATCTTTCCTGGATGCAGATGTACTGAACCATAAATTGCTTATGATTTAAAAAGGGGAAAGAGATTAAAGGCATGGAAGGAATTTTTGCTGAAAGTCTGTAGCAGGGTGAATTTGTGCTGATACTTTTGGTCTGTGTTTGGCCCCAGCCACCTGTAGTAGTTTATATTCTCCCTGCCAAGTTCACTGATAAAACAGTGAATTCATCCTTGGAGGGAGAACTTCTGTATAAACTATTTTAATTGGTGTTCTACTATTGGTTCATTGTCTGCCAAGGGCATTTGAAGGAGAAATCGAAGAGGAGGGGAGGAAGGCTTGACCCCCAACTCAATTGGAAAAGACCCCGAAAGCATACTGCGCGTGCATTAGGGGATTTCCGAAGTTCTCATGCATGCGCAGAAGGGATAAACTTACATAACCAAGAGGGTGGGATTGAGAACCTCTGGCTGGGTGGTGATGACCACTCCTGTCTAGGCTGAGGTCACTCAGTTAATTGTATAAAAGCAGATAGTGCTTTCTTGGAGGTGAGCTAGCTTCACAACAAGGACAACGTTGCCTTTTGGCGGGAACACCTGCCAGTTTGTGAACTTACTGACTCTCCAAGGATGCAGCTTCTGCTATGGGTAATTATAGGTATGCTAGGTCAGTAAGATAACTCCATGGGCAACAGCTGGGTAACTGGGGAGGTCATGCTGGGGGTTTATTTCTCTTCTCCTTCCTCCTTTTTGGGTTTGTTTGTTTTGTTGGCCACCTCTTGGTAATAAATATTGGTTTTTGTTGAGCTTTCAACGGTGTCGTGGTTTTCAAGATTCAGTATGGTCCGAACCCTCCCTAATACAAAGTCTCATGGCAGATTTAAGACCAGAGTTGCAATCTGCCCGTCACCGGACGAGAGCCCTAGGTCATTAAGCTCTAATGAGTTCACATTATTTGCAGAAATCTGCATTTCCCTATGTTATTTGAAAATGCAAAACTTCACTGTTGTCAGCTCCTGTAGCAGAAAGGGCATCTGTAGTAATAAGGTGGGCTCATTCCCCACTGTGTGGGTATTTCCGTCTGTTTGCTTTGTACAGCACACCTGATTCTGGACTTAACTTTCAGAGGTGTTTCATCTAATTATTTTTATTTTTCAGGTATGATCCTCATACTTCCATGTACAGATACATTTATCAAGGTCGATCTTAGAACAGTTGCCTGTAAAATTCCTCCACAAGAGGTAATTATTCTCTAGCAGCCATCTAAGCCAGAAACAAAAGATGCAGCTGATTCATGATATGATAAAAAAAAAATGTTTTATAATCTTGCAGCTCTCAGGTATCATGAAAAATTTAGCTTCTTTGCTATATCTTGAGTTTCAAACTGCTTACAAAATTTCTTCTTGCCCAAAGAAGTTGTGGATGCACCATCCTTGGAGTTGTTCAAGGCCAGGTTGGATGAGGTGCTGAGCAATCTGGTCTTGTGGAAGATGTCCCTGCCAATGGCAGCAGGGTTGGAGCTAGATGGTCTTTAAGGTCATTTTTAACCCACACTATTCTATGATTCAACTTATAAAAATTTGAGGATGCACCATTGCAGTCAAACTGATGTTCAGAACTGTGAGATAAAAGACAAGGGAGCTGGGATACAAGTGTGCATGAGAGACAGAAAGAACAATAGAGGAGCAAGTACGAAATTCCCAGTTGTAAATGAATGTCCTAATGAAATTGGATCTGACATGGAGCTCACCCTTCAAAAGAGCCTTCTACATGTTTCTGAAAAGGCAAATTACATATGGGTAACAAATCTACTTAAATAAACAGGAACTAGCAGACAACATCCACAAAACTCAGATCCAAACAGGAATGGAGGGGTGTATCTTTAGGCATTTTATTGACAAATATTGACTGAAGAACTTAATTGAAGAATTAGTTGCTGAGAAATCCTGTCCTGATTAGGTTTTGTCTCTGTGTGACCCCAACTCTATGGCAGAACAATGCTTCTGCTTGTGGAGTTGGCACCGCTGTCCCCTTCCTTACACAAAGAGCAGAGGGCAAAGAGACAGCTCCACGGCCCCTTTGGCCTCAAGGATTACCCATTGTGTTTCCCAGGAGCTGTTTCTTGGACTGTTATCTTTCCATAAGCACAAAGAGCCTTTTCTCAGAGTGCAGGTTGCAGGGTTGCATGGGGTGAAATGAAAAATTGCTTGCCAAAAACATAAGGCTGGAAGGAAGACATTGCAGTACTTGTGCTGTACAAGGCTTAGCAGGTTTTGGCAAGGCTTCTGCAGAGGTTGGCAGGGCTTCTGTGAAGCATTTGCTTGCAGGCAAAAGATGCTGAGGAGAGAAGAGATAGTGGAGCATCATCAGTGCTCCACTGAGGCCAGCTGCCTGCTGAGGCACAGGGAACTTGTCTGGCAAAAGATGACACAGCACTTCTATGAATGCTTTAATATTTTTTCTGTTTCTTCTCACAATTCTTTTCACTTTTCATTTTTGTTTCAATTTGCTGGTGTTTCTTACATTGTTTAGAGGGAGTAGCATAGATCTTCCAAATTGCATGTAATGTATAAAATCATTAATGATCCTTTCTACAAGCAAGGAAGAGGATGGTCATCATGTATTATTGCAGAAGAAATTAATTCAAGTTATGAGATTCGCTTACTGTTGAAACTGTGGTTTAGAGGCTATGTACAACATTTTGCCCCAATTTAAACATTGGTTGTGCTGGAGAGCTGTCTTGAAGTAATTCCTCAGGGTAATGACAAGGAAATCAAAAGAAATTCTTAATTTCTTTGAATTATCAGAGCCTTTGCCTCACTAAGGGGTAAAAAAAATAATTCCCCATCCTAGGCAAAGGATGTGTTATTGGATCCTTCTCTAGTTCTTTACATTTCTCGAATGCAGATTCTCACGAAAGATGCTGTTACTGCCCAAGTTGATGGGGTGGTGTACTACAGGATCTACAGTGCTGTCAACGCCGTTGCTAACATCAGTGATGTCCACTCAGCGACCTTGCTTTTGGCACAGACAACCCTGAGAAACATTCTGGGTACACAGAGCTTGGCTCAGCTGCTGGCAGGTCGTGAGGAGATTGCATGCAGTATCCAGGTAAATCTGGCTCTCAAAATTCACTGACAAGGGAGATGTGTTCTGGGGAGTAGCAAATTAGAAATACCATCTCTTTCTTTTTTGAATAATGATAACAAAATCTCCCTTTATTGTTTATTCAATTACACATCTCATTGCTTAGAGTCAGAAAGAGTTATTCCAAAGGTATTTCCCCAGGTTCTTGTAACAGAGTTATCTCCTATCAAAAAGCAATTAAGATTTTGAAATTATCCAGTGACCTAAATAAATCAGTTTAGTCTTGCACAGAGGCCGCTGCAAGCATGGAGAAATGTTTGCTGCTCGTGGGAAGCTCTATCTTGAGCAGACTCTTGATTGAGGCAAGGCTTGTATCTCCTGTCATTACAACTAAGAGTACAGAACCTGTTGTTTTGTGCTTTAAAATGCCATCTGGTTCCTTTCTTTATTTGGCTGCCAAGGAGGGAGCAGAGAAGAAATCCAACACCTGATTTACTATTTTCAGTCAGAGACGAGGCATAGTCAAATCAAAGAGAGACTCTATCCCTCTCCAGCAAGAAGAGTGGCCTTGGGCAGAGCCAGGGTCATGGTGGTGACGTGAACTGCAGGAGTGCCCAGGAGCCAGAGCAAAGAAGATTGTGTCAGTGCTGCAGGGCTGTGCTGTGTCTTTCACCCATAGTGTACTTTTACGTGCTTTTACAGTGTTGTGCTGCTAAGGAAGTTGTTGTAGTATTTCTTTGTAAAAGGGAGAAGTTTGGTAAGTGCCCACCTAAAGCATGAGGATCATAATTTAGGAGGCAGTAGAGAAGCCACACGGGTGGCACTGGTGTTGTTCAGCAAGTATTTCATAAGGCTGTGGTGCTCGCCATATGCACACTGTGCTGGATGCTCGTGTCTCTGGAGGGTCTGTCTTTCTGCTGTCCAGGTTTGCATGCTGCCTGTCTTTCTGTCCAAGTAGCAGGGTACATTGTGTGGCTTTCTCACTGTGCTCTTTGTAGTGTGTTGTGTGTTTATCCCTAAGACTATCCTCAACAGTGCCACGGAGCAGTGGGGAGTCAAAGTGGCCCGTGTGGAGATCAAAGATGTCAGGATTCCTGTGGCCATGCAGAGGGCAATGGCAGCTGAAGCAGAGGCTGCTCACAAGACAAGAGCTAAGGTGAGACCCACAACAACGTCTATGCGCAAGCACTCGCTTCCTTGTCATAAAACCATAGAATTGCTTGGGATGGAAAAGACCTCTAAGATCATTGAGTCCAACCATTAACCCAACACTGCCAAGTCTACCACTAAACCACGTCCCTAAGCACCACATCTACATGTCTATTAAATATCTCCTGGGTTGGTGACTGCACCACTTCCCTGGCATCCTATTCCATTGCTTGACAACCTAACTTTTTTCCGATATCCAATCTAAACCTGGGGCAACTTGAGGCCATTTCCTCTTGTCCTCATGTTCCAGGAATCCAAGTGCTTGTTTGTTTTCTCATTATAAAGGCGGGTTTTCCCCACTAAGAGCAGTGTCACCATGGCATTTCCATTTCTCTTCCTTTGCAAGTTGTGGCAGCAGAAGGAGAAATGAATGCTTCTAGAACTCTCAAGCAGGCCTCCATGGTGCTGTCCGAGCGTCCAGCAGGTCTTCATCTGTGTTACCTGCAAATGTTAACAACCTTGGCAGCAGAGAATAATTCCACCATTGTCTTCTCTCTCCCTATGAATACACTTGGGAGTTTAGGGCAGAAAAGTAGAGGGGGATAGAGACTGTTCTATGGTAGCTCCTTAGCCAGAGATATTTAAAGGTTTCCTCAGGAAGCCAGGGGTTCCAGATTGCAAATGCAGACGCATAATGTGGGAGCTATATAGGATTATTAAACTAATTTTACTCTTATTTTTGGGACAGAGGACCCAAGCATGCTTCTACTTTAATTCTGGCAAAGATAGACACTAAGCAGTTTCAGCTTAGCTCATCTTCAAGTAAAATGGAAGAAAATACGTAAAATGCATGATAGACCTATTATAACAATTTAATGATGCTTTCACCGCACTTCACAGAGTCTTGAGTGGAGCAATTGGTGTTTGTCTGCTTAGCAGGAACCTCTGAGCTATCAGATACTGGCCTTTAACTCAAGTCCTGTGAAGTGGAAAAGAAGGACTTAGCTCTTAACCTTAGAGGTATCTTTTCATAAATATTAGCAGAATTACTATATAATTAGTATGTTGGTGGAACAGGCTATTCTTTATCTTGTATTAGTAGAAATCAGTACTTGCTTTACTAACCTCAGCTGTATTTTGCCATATCACTACATTTATTTGAGTTCTGTAATAAAAGAAAGAGAATATATGACCAGGTATTATTTCATATTTCCTAAATATGAAAGTTGGGGCAAACCTCAAGGTCCTCTGTTAATTTAAGTTTCCATCTTACACCTTCAGGAGGTTTCTTATCCTCCTTTGTACATATCATGAAGCGGTGATGCAAGTTTTCATAAAATGAGCCTTCCCACCCTCCATCCATGCAAATCCTGGCAGCTGAGAAGAGGACGTTGCTGATATTCGAGTTCAGCTGACATTAAATTTGAGTTTGCAGCCTTCAAAAATATCTGGGTATCTCACAGTGCAAGCACACAGCAATGAGCTGTCTGGGTCTGAAAGCTCTCATGATGGAGCTGTTCTGGTAGGTGCTTTTGCCATGTAATGTCTTGTCCACACAAGGCTCACTGCTGCCCCTCCTGTCAGTGGAGTCATTTGACTCCAAATTAACAACATCAGCACGAACCTGCTAATTGTCATATCATTTATACAGGCCCTTTTATTTTTACTGCAGCGTACACAAGGAACGTGATTTTTTTCTTATCCTAAGAAAAGAGAAGTTTTGAGTTTTGGGATAATTTTTCATTGTCAACTGAGTTTGATATTTGTGGAAGCCACAGAAGTGATATAAAGTATACATATAGAGCCTCTTTTAACTGTGGCAGTGAACCCCCCACCTTTCCCTTTCAAATATTGCATCTCCACTACAGAGCTGTATTCAGAGCCCTACAAGCAGCAAGGCTTTAGGAAAATGTAACCACAGGTTGTGTCAGTTGTTGTTTTGTGGTTTTTTTAAAGTAATGCAAATTAATTAAATTTAAAAAAACCCAAACTAAACCAAACCAAACTTGAAAGACATGACCGCAGAGTGCAATTAAAAGAAATTCCATGCCCTCAGTGAGCTACCAGCCCTAACTAACCTGTGCCCGTCTCCTGAGTCAGGCATAGGATATATCCAGTCCAGTTACCTGTCCCTAAATTGGCCAGCTCCTCTTCCAGCTTCAGATGCGTGTATGGAAATCCTGCTGTGGTATAAGTGGGGTCATTTGTCCCACTACATCAGGACTCACAATTAAACTCAGAAACTAGGTGATGTCTTGAAGCATGAGTGATAGTATCTCTTTCAGCAGCAGTGTAACACAGGCTGTACTTGGTAAGCCCAGGAATGTCCAGTCTTCTTTCTGACCCATGGAAATTTCTCGACCTCTTTTTCCTGGAAAGCAGGAATTAATCAGCTCTACAAGCACAGTGTTTTTTCATTTGACCCTCCACAGGATAATTGCACTGTTATATAATGGATCAGGAAGACAGAAATTCCTATTCTCTCTTTGCCAGTGTCAGGTACAATAAACACTAGTAGAGTACTAGTAGAGTAACTGCAATTTTTGTTGTATTACTCCCACACACAAATCTACAGGGAATACCCCAGAGAGCAAAACAGCAATGGAAGCAGCCCTGCAATGTTTCAGGTGCCACTTGGGTGCACATTCTTTGCAAAAAAAATTCGGGAAGGAGGCAAGCTGCAGTCACACGGATAGGATGTGGGGATCAGAGGAGGCACAGGCTGTCAGATGTGTTCAGGAAGTCCTGCAGGTGAGCACAGCTCTGCCGACGCAGGGTGCTGCGGCACTCACTGGTGCCTGGAATTTTCTCTACCCAGGCTTGTGCATCAAGGAAGTACTGCATCCTGAATGAAAATGGGACAGATAAAGAAGATGAGTCATTATTCCTGATGTGGAGCAATGCAAAAGCATAATCCCTGAGATGCTGCATCCCTCCACTGAGGCATCTCTGAGATCAGGAGTTATACTAGCCAACAAACTTGCCTGAAACTTAGTTTCACCAGCAGGTTAACTGAGCTTTGAATAAAGTTTGGGAAGTGTCGGCACCAAGCTGGGACAAACCTGGCTGTACTGGTGTTTTGAGTGTGTCAAGTAAGCTTGGGCTAAGTTTCTATTAGAGTTTTCCAGAGTGGCATAAAAGGCCCCAGTGCACATCAGTGGGACACAGTGAAGGGCAGTTTAGTTTCAACAGTGTCCCAAAATGTTTCCTCATTTTTTGTGCTGAGAAGCTGTGTTACTTTGAGTATTTTACAACTGGACTGGAGAAGACTTTGGAGGTTACACCTCTTCCAGGAGACCCCAGTCTTTAGCAGGCTTCTGCTGAAGAAGGCCTCTGACTTAGACACTTACTTTGGTGTCATATAGAGATGGGGGTGGGACTTTTTAAGGTTTTAGGAAGTGGCGCTCACAATTTGATGGAGGTCTCCCACCTAGAAGCTTTCAGAGGCACTACCTTTCTCCACTTCTGTGAAAGGAAATGAAACACTTAAGATGTCTTCCTCCCTGAATACTTGATAGTGTCAGACTAAATTCCTACTCAAATAAATTGTCTTTTTTTATTAAAGAGTGACAATGGGAAATGAGAAGAATATACTATTTACATACATGATATAACAGAAACTTTGTGGTCTACTCTTAGTCATTTCTCCTGCTCATTTCTTTTGCAAACACAGGAGTTGTTTAAGGCATCTGCAGTAGGTGGACCGCGTAGCTTTTCCCATTCTCCTTTTGCAGCTGTGAGTTTTTAACCCAATGGAGTCAGGGCCAGACTTAATTCTGAGAAGTCTGGAAACCAACCTCTGCACAGATACATGAGCTGACAGATTTGGGTGGCTCAGCTGTTCCCCACAGCTACCCTTTTGCCTATGGAATGGAACTCTTTGCTTTTTAGTAAATCCAGCAGAATTAGTCTCTGAGAAATTTGGTTGTGCCTTCGCTTTCTGGAGGTATTCTAATAGATTGAGTATCCTCTGGATTTATAGTCCATGGTAGCAACTGCTGCTGCTCAGAAACCATTGCACTTACTTGTTGTTGCAATCGACTGTTTCCCCATCTTTCCCCATGAGGAGGTACTGTTTGCCAGGGACCATGTTTAACTTGCACGTGGAGCGTGTTAGGAACTGTCGGTGGGCACCCACTTGAATGCTTTCATCATCAGCTGTGGGACAAGAAAAGAAAACTGTAGCCCACAAGGCACAACCCTTTGGGATCATTTGCCCCCCTGCTAAGACAAAGTAATATTTCATTTGGGAATTGTAGCTTGACATGGGGATAAATGTCCATGCTTTGATAGGATATGTTTCCCTTAGCATTATCTGACAAAAAATAAGCCACTTTTGCCTTAGCTGGTTGTCTTGGCCTCTGCAGTAGTTATTGAAGGAGCTGTTTTGCTATAGATCTTAGGACTTTTCAGACGTTATGGAGTTTGTTTGAATCTCAGAGATTGAAGGAAAAGCCAAGGAAAATAGAAAATGTGCTGCCTTCTATTTCAGATTTCACAGGTTCAGAGTGGTCTTAAAAGGTAGCATACTAAGTTTAAATATCTTGTGGCTCAACAATGCAGCAGATAGCATTAAAATCTCACTCTCCGTAGTACATTTGACCTGAACTTCACTGATGTAGCCTTTATGCCTTTCCCTCTAATCTGATACATAGGACATGCTCCTGGTGATCTCCATGTTAAAATAATTTAGAAGATTCTGCTCTGGATCCTGGCCCAGAAGATTATTCATTCAGAACTGCATTGCACACTAGAAGTGAGCATCCAAGGCAGACGAGATGGCTGCTCTGGTACTGCAATGACATGAGAGCTGGAAAGATGCTTATTCATCAGACCCATCTCAGGCCATGAAGATATTGTGTTGTTTAACTAGGACAACAGTTTTCAAAGTCTATTTGGAAAAAAATGCAAATAACTGCAATATTCTACTTGCTTACTCTCTTTCTAACTATAATTTGAAATGTCCCGGTCATAAATTCAATATTAAACCAGCCTGAATTACAGGTAAGGCATCACAGTCTTTCTATCAGTTAACAGAAACTTGTGTAGCTTCTGCTCTCTAAAGTATTATATTGCAAGTATGGGAAGTCTAGTATTCAAAATAAACCCCTAAAAGTAGAATAAAAACCTGAAGTAGAATATTTCAACATTAATAAGATTTCAGAGAATTTGACATGGACTGTGCAACCTAGCTTTAAGAACTTTATCTACTTCCTTAGTAAAACTTATATTGATTTTACAAATAGTACTTATACATCTTCATTTTTCCAACGAATAATAAGTACTTTAGGTTTTGTCATATAACGCAAGACCTTTTTGTTGTTCCCATGCTACATGGTGGACTGAATTTTCATTTTGTTCATGGAATGCAAAAATGGATCAGAACTACTTGAGAAAATTATGATGTTGTTCCTCAGGTTGATTGGGCTTAAATTACCAAGGTGTTTCTCCCTTCATATGCTTCACAAATGCCCTAATGCAATTGAGACCGTGGCAATTGTAAGCATTTGAGTTGTTACCTTAACAGGTTATTACATAATTTTCAATTCTAAATCTCCAATTAAAAAAAAAATAATTAAAATATAATGTTTCAAACCTTCCATGCAGAATGTAAGGGAAACAATTACTTCAAATTTTAGAATCTATAATAGGAAACAAAAAAACTGGGGGTGGAAAAAAAAA